GCATCTTCTCCACCTTCGATCTGGCACCTCGGACTGTGCAATGGCCGCAAAGTCGTTTGCATACGATCTGCAGGGTGTAGGATGGTGCAGGGAAGAGACACCTGAAAAGTAGTGATCTCTGGACCAGAAGTTAACCCGAACTGCCATCTCCATCGCCATTATGATATGTCAAGCCTGCAGGGTTTATGATGGAATTGTTCATGCCGTCGCTCTTTGACATGTGTGCCTCTTGCCCGTCAGCCTCCATCTTTTGTTAACGAACGAATGGTCTGGGACCCCTATACTGGCCACACGATGCCGGAGCAATTTTGCGACTCTGACCTGCCATCGGACCATTAATGCTTTCTCGCAACCCTCCCTCAAAAGAGTCTGCCAAGGTACTGAATCCGAGGAGGGCAAGCAGCTGCAGCCGAACCCTTGGTGGACAAGCAAAATTATGGTTTGGGGAGTCTTCTCTGCATCGGGGCATTGGTATGCGTCGGTGTGCACCGGTACATTTTGGGCCTGGTGCTTGAGCAGCTTGCTTGATGTGGCTTCCGTGCTGACATGCCTGTGTGATTTCTCGCTAGGCCGGTGCCGCACGCAGATGATCGTGCACTTGGATGTTCACACTTGTACTCTGGACGGGCAAATTGTCCAAATTCTCTGTTGACGCATGCTGAACCTCTCGCCAGAAGCCAATGTCATGTCACTCAAAGGCAAGCAGCTCTTCACCTGCGGCATCGAAGTCGCCAGTATACTTGATCACTCCACCTGGCATTGTGAAGGCCTTTGTACTTTGTACCAGCATCTCTCAATTGAACCCTCTTTCCCCTCCTGACAGCGGGCCGGAGATGACGCTGTCGGAGCCTCCGGGACCAAGAGTGGCTGGTCTAAAGCTAACCGAACTTTAACCGACCTACAGTAGCCGGCACACTCGCCATCAGCTGAACAGGCAGCACAGCTTGTACAGCTTGTTTGAACCAGCGGGGGCCTCGCTTGGGCTTTTTGCGCGTGACATTCTCCAGGCCAGTACCCAGAAAGAGCTTCTCAGCTGGAAGGAGCCTGAGGTCAAGCTGTGATCACGGAATGGCACGTCTTGCCCTTGAACAGCTTTCATGACAGACACTTGTTACAACAGCCCCCGCCACATCCCAACACAGGCCTATACAATGTACTCGTGCTGCTGGCCACACTGCTTCCAGCGACTGGTGACCTTCGAAATCTGACGAAGGTTCACAAGCACGTGAGATATCATTCGCCATGCCGGGAACCGATTGTAATTAGCACATGAGGCAGATCATGAACTCGTTTACCGATCATGTGAGCTAGATGTAGCTCGACAGAATCCTTGACAGCAAAGTTGCATGAAAAAGTTAAGTGTAACACAAGGGTTCTCCTTCTTCTGAGATCCCCACGCATCTGGAGAAACGTTTGTCACTGGCGTCATCTGGGCAACAGGTATGTGCGAGGCACCAACCAGATGAAAGGACTTCTGGGTGCAGCCTTTCAGCTAAGATCCCAGAATAAAAATTAGTGCTGATAGAATCAATCCAGAGGCCTTCTTGTACCTCATGCCAAGAAGGGTCTACTGTGCGGTAGGTACAGACAACGACCCGAGTTGCCAAGAGGTTTCCCAGTAACTGGTGCTGTTGGTGGCACATGCATACACCGTGATGGGCGAGAGGGACACCAAAACACAAGCCCGCACCTCAATGGTTGTCAAATCCCACCCTCAACGCCCTCATTGCACGGCAAAGGTCAGAAGCCGACGGCCCTCGCGAGCCAGCGCTGACAGATGCTCCTGTAGCAAAGCAACATAACCGTCAGTCGCATGAGAATCAGAGGGCGCACGTCTCGTTCTGGGCTCATACCGCACTCTCGCCTAGCGCTTTCTACGCGCTAAGCCCCAACCCACTTCGTGGTTCAAACTGCGCTCCGCAGCTCAAGCTCTCGGACGGGCGCGTGAAACTGGTGATCGAAAGCGTGGAGGAGGTGCGCAACCCCCCCGCCCCCCCCCAGCCTTTGTACAAGCGTACAGGGCTGAAAGTGCCCAGCCGCCCCGAGTACATATTTGCAACAAAGCGATCCGAGGTTTGCATCTTCTTTGGATTTCGGGTTTAGGGTTGTGACGCAACCCTCTGTTATCCGGAGTTGTCGCGGCATCGGCTGCGCTGGTTCATGAGGCAGACCACAGAGGTGCAACTCACAATATAACAATCTAGATGTTCAGTACCAGGTAGTACAAGCAATCACTTTCCCATCTGTCTTGACAGCAGTCAGTACGAGCGGTGCCTCAGTCCAATCTTAAGCCGTGCAGTATTGCATTGGACCATCAGTTAACCTGTGCGAATACGTGCTCCCTCCGTCAAATGCTCATTCCACTGACCCCCACACAAAGGGGAGTCAATCATCTGCTCAGGTGTGCACTCAAACACCTTCGCTTGTTCAAAAAGCTTCATGTTCCTTCCAAGAATTCCTTTCCTTGATCATTCCCGGCTTTCTGCCTCATGCTCAAGTTCACCTGGATCAGCATTAGCTCCGCAGCAGTTCAACATCACTTCAACATGGATGCCACGACCATCCTTCGACACAGCACTCTTCAAACCAACAATCAACGCGATCCAGCGACACGCGGCTAGTGGAAACGCTCTCTGATGCTTCTCCGGTGGTTCCGTCACAAGGGTGTCTGGATCAATTCGCGCCATCTTTCTAGGGTTAGTTATAGGGTTAGGACCTTGCCCTTCAATTTTACATAGGTGCCTCATCCTGCTTTCGCTTGGCTTCTCTCAGCTCCAGCGCATGATTCTCTTCACCGTTTCAGCCCGGGAAGCTGTCGAACAGTGCGGCAAGGATCTGCGGCATTCTGGCGGCAGTTGGTTCCTTTCCATCTTCTTCAGGTTGCCATGGTCTTCCTTTCCACTATGCTAACCATTGCAGAATTCCATTGCTGTGGTGGCCCTTCCGTGTCACAGTCCGACTCTTTCAAATTCCATGAGCATTGCCAATGATCACTTCATCGGCCTCTGTGTCCACCAAAGCAGACTCCCGCGAACCGTTGAGGTGCTCAAGTGAGGAATCGCGATTTTTCTCCTCAGTGTGCCAACTTGGCATCCACACATTCTCTTGACACGTGGAACCTTCTAGTCTCGATTACATCTCCTAGACTACACAGTCCTCCCATCATCGCCGGTCAGGCGCAGTTAACCAACCATGCGGTGCTTTTGCTCTTTAAGTGAACATTGCTAAATTTCAAACTTCTGCGCAATCAGTGTCCTCAACTACAATCCACAATGAGCATTTCCAGGACTGACTCTGCGAATGTCCAGCCCGTTTTTGCCCGGGGGGGGGTGCGGGAAAGGGGGGCGGGGAGGCCCGCCCCATTGGCAACCACCTTGCCGAGTGCTTTCTTGGATTCACGGCAATATGTCGGCTCGCGCCGCATCCAAGTCCTTGCGCAGGGTTCTGTCTCCGACGTGTTGCGAGTCGAGAGGTGAAGACTTGTGACAATGTGGTGGGCACCGCTGTCTTTGAAGATCCACACAACTACGTGACAGCTCGGGTAACAGGTAGCGACCATTCGTTCATTGCCTGAAGATGCCCAAACGTCAGAAGTCTGGCCTTGGCTGTGGCTGGTTTTGTGGCGGAGGGGTCGAGGCGTGGCGAACCACCCCCGCCCCATTTGCAACCACTTGTCGTTGGCGGTGGTGGTCTGTTGTTGCTTGTTGTTTCTTGTTGTTTCCGGTTGCTTGTTGACATTTCTGGTTGACTGTTGTTGGCGAGAATCTATCCTTTTTCCGAGTCGTGAGACAAATCCGCTTTGCTTTCGACCATCAGCCGGCGAGGATTGGGGGTCCAGATCTGAGACACACCTTGAACAAAATCGAGGTGAACCACACCTCACGATAGGTCGGGTAGAAGGTGGACCAATATGACTAAACAGGTCTCCGGGGAGCAGCCCGGCTCGCGTGACCAGAACAGAGAGAAGCTCCAGTGTTGCTCTCTTGGCAATCTGAGTGTGCAGACTCTGCTTCCATGTGTGCCGTGGGTCCATCTGTGTCTGCTTCCGTTGGATCTGATTCGGCAGCGGCAGCGCCGCCTTCCCCCAGCAGCACGGCAGCCAAGAGTCAGGTCGTGACAGCAGAACAGTTGGCTGCTCGACAGGCTCCTTTCGTGATTTCCTTCCTAGCAGAGGTACTCAGAAGCACAAGTTCTGGGATGGCAACTTGGCGGACTTGCCAACTCTTGAGTGGAGGAGATGCAAGACAAAGCCCTCACGGAAAGGGATCCGTTGGAGTTCGCCAAGCTCAAGAAGGAGTGGGCTCTCAAGGAGAAGATCTTGCAGTGCATTCCCAAAGCCATCAAGCAAGCCGCCGACGACATCAGCAAGCACATGAAGGTCAAGGTTACAGAGAACAACCGAGAAAAGAGGAGGTGTGATGAGCAAACATCCAAAGATGCTTTGCGAAAGATCCGGGAGGATGCCCAGGCGGCAGCAGATCAGGTGAAGAGGCGCAAGACTGAGGGCAAGAAGGCGCAGGCCCTCTTCACCATCACGTTGCCGGTTGAAACAGTTCCGCAAGTGCCCATGTTGACAAACACATGCAAAAGCGGTGACCATTGGAAGAGCCCGTGGATGATGAGTGGTGGCGAGGACCTTGCTGCTTGCCTGGGAGGTTCAGCTTTGCAGAGGGCGTTGAGTTCTTGGGGGTCGCAGTACAAGCGGGCCATGTCCAATGCGAAGTTGACCCAAGCAAGCTTGCCCATGGAGGACAAGCAGGGTCGGCCCAGTTTCAATGCCTATATCGAGAAGGTGCTTCCACGCTCTGAGGTGCCTGACATCTCCGAGGTGGCGGGTGGAAAGGGGTTCATGGACGTTTCATGGGCTTTTCGGGCATGCTATGGACAAAACCTGCGCAGGCTTCATTCCGAATCACGCAAGCGCTTTTCGTGTTTTGGTTGTTGGTGAAGTCCGTTTTTTCATTATTGAGTGGTGTTCACTTTCCAGTGTCATGCTCCAGAACGAGCCGGAGCCCAAGCCGAACCCGGAAGCACTCTTGACAAAGCTCCAAACCCTTGACGAGACGGCGTTGACTGAGATTCTGAAGCAAGGAATCAATGCCAGGCAGTGCGTTCTCAAGGCAAAGAAGGTGCTTTTCATTCCGGCTGGATGGTTGGTGGTGGAGGCTGCTGTGCCCCAAGGGGAGCACATCTACGGGCTTCGCAAGAATGTGTTTCTGAAGTCCAGCGCAAACAAGTATGAAGAGGGCATCAAGATCACCCAGGCATCCGGCAACTCCGAGTCTGCCTGTGAGCGAATGCGCAAAGTTCTGGAGATCTTGAAGAAGTGAAGTGAACACTGGAAAGTGGGAAGACTGCATCAGGGGGCAAAACTTGCTCCCTGGGTGCTCAGTCTGGTCAGGTTTGATCCTGACTGGGGTTTTCAGTCACCCAGGGCACAGATCATCAGACACTCTTCTGAGTGCAGGTTCTGGCCCGTGCTCGTGACTTCAGATCCGCTGGATCGTTCTTGTGTCGAGGTTTTCACATTTCACGCACCGGGGCATCTTCAGCAACGGCGCAAAATGACTGTCGACAGTGTTTAATTACTTTTGCAGCAGCCTGTGTGAGATTGTTGCTCTGCTCCATTCCGCTGTGTGTTTCAGTTTTGCTTTGATTTTGAAATGTCTTTGGGAGTCATCTTGGGTCCAAAGTCCAAAGCTTGAAGCAGTTGGCCAGTCTGTTAGGGGTGCAGCCTGTTGAAATGCAGTGTGTCGGAGTCTGAGGTCGGGGCGTGCTTGTTGCTTATGCGGGGTCTGTAGGGGGTGTGGTCAGGCGTCCAGGGGCATGGGCCATAAAGCTGTTGCGGAGAACTGTCCGTTTCAAAGTTGCCTGTATTCCCAACACACCCCAACCTAGGAGCGACCTTTCAGGCCACTCAGGAGTGGAGAACCGCAATCCAGCCACAAGAAGTTTGAATCACGACAGCGGACTCCAACTCGCAGCTCACGGCGAGTGTTTTGTAGGATTCCCCAGAATCGATTGAAACATGTGCCCCGCCCTTCCCCCGGAGAAAGAATGAAATTTACTAGTGCAGAGCACCAGATGTTGCTGAGACGAATGCGTCCGCATGCGTCGTTAGAGCTTCGAAAGCGCTTAAAGCGCTTGCAAAGGCAGTCCAAGAATAGGAGACCCAGCCTCCTGGCGCAGCAGCTTTTGGGCAGCTTTCCGCTCCTTCCACTCCTTCCGCTCCTTCGGCTTTCGGAATTTCGGACATCAGTGTGATATCATATAAGGTAAGACCAGTAAGGTTTGAACCCGCTTCTTGACAGCATGAACACCCCCTGGCCTGCTTGGAGAGCTGGCGCATCTCCGCTTTCTGCCAAAAGCACAGGCTTCCCTGCATGAAGAAGCTAAGAGGAACACGTCACTGACACAGCACCCACAACTAGTATCACCCCCCCTTCCCCTCCTGCAGCAAAACGGCCTCCAGAGCTGTACTCTTGACAGGAATAGGCTACAGATAGCGTTGCGTAGGGAACCTGGTTTTCTGCAAGTACTGGTGCCGCTCTACTTTCTGAACTTGGCAGGGGCTTCCCTGATTTTTGCCACTCGCTGAGGCTGGAGGCAGTTGGCGCACAATGTGTGCTGCACAACACAAGCAGCAGTCCGATCAGCAAAACTAAGGCTAAGGGGCTAAGGGTTTTCGGGCTGGTTTTGCACAAAGAGCCCAAGGATGTCGACAGGTATTGGCGAGGGAAAAACTAGCTGTGCCATGCAGTATCGGCAGGCTTCGACCACCCAGAAAATTGCGAGACCATCCCACCATGACCCCACTTTGTTTAAGAGATGCCTGACATACAAAGCAAGAATGCGGCAAGCCCAAACGAACATGACAGTGCCCCGATTCGCCTATAGGCGGGCTTGTGGCGACAACGGAGGGCACCAGGGCCTCGCCTTGAGAAGGTTTAGTTGAGATCAGGGGCTTTACGGCACTTCATATGCGGCGTGCTCGTGCATGCTGATGTATCAACCATTTCTTGACGAATTCCTACAAAGCAGCTGTGCGCAACCGCTTACAGTGCCCTTGCAGTAAAATCTCTGTCCAACCATGGCTTGTCGAGATTGCAACTGCCACTCTGAAAGATAGTGCTTACAGTGCTTCCCATGCCGCTCTTTCGTCCCGGCACTTTGTTGGGCACCTGAAATGCAGGTGAAATGTTGGGTAGGAGGATGTTGCAGGATGTGGCAGGACAGGCGTCTAGTGGTTGAGGGCGGGCGCCCTTCTCGAGAGGCCACCAAAAAATTACTTTCCTAAGAAAGCCAGCCTTAGCCAGCAACCCCTTCAGCTTTGCAAAGCATTCTTGCCGCCAGCGAACTTCGCCGTGACCATTCTCCTTCCATCTGATCATGAGCTGCTAACCAAAGCCGTGGGCCGTGACAAAGGCACAAAACTCGCCACATGGTTCTGGCGTACAATATATCTGTTACAGCCTGAGCCTTTCTGCAACCTCGACTGCTTGTGAAAGAAATTTACATAAAGAAAAGGCTTTCGCAAGCCTGGTCACCCTTACAACCGCCCGATGAACCTGGCCTCCTTCCTTCTCCGAATCCTGTCAGGACGAGCTCCCGTTTTGACATCCAGGTCGATCAGGCCGTCCTGATGCTGTGAGCTTTCTAGGCTTTCTTCGCTTGCAGAAAAGGTTCCTCAGTTCCTCAGGCTTGCACAGTCAGTCCCTCTTGTTTCCACTCGTGTGCCGTCACCGCTCTTGCTTCTATTGAGCATGTGCAGGTTGCGTGTGAATGTGTAGCGGAGTGTAGCGTCCGACATGGCAGTGCGAAGCCCCTTTCGGATTCTAGCCCACTGCGTGGTCCTAATGCTAAAGCAAACAGAAACGAAAGACTCGATATTCTAGCTTCCGTGATCTACGTCATCTCATGAATGCCCGCATTAAATCAAACCTTGCCACAAGGGCAAACCGCACAACGGCATATCATTTCCGCTTGAAGTGTACCTTTCTCCTGTCCTCCCGAAGCTTGACCACATGTGCCGGCATCAGCACACTGTGCGATGGGCCTGGGCACTGTGCTCTTCTGCTCGCTTGCTCGATGGGAGGGTGTGGTGTGAAGGGTCCAGTGCGCACCAGAATGTTTTGGATTGGTTACTTCCGCGCTGAGGCTTATCTCACATCAACTGCCAAAAAATGGGACAAAAACAACAACAAAACAACCAGCAGGAAGCTAAGGCTGACAACCCTAATGAATCCAAGTTGCTGTTGTAGTAGACCTTGTCACCCACCTTGAAGTCCGTGAAAGCCAAGTCCTGTGCCAACTCCTGTGCAGTGGATTGGCGTGACACCAGCATTTTGTCAGGGTTACTTTGAGTTGTCGGATGATCCTATCCGCAAGCTCGCGGTGGTCGAGGAATCGATTTTTGTTTAGGGTTTCCGTTTAAAAACGGTCTTCCCGAGTAAAACAGCCAGGAAATAAAGGGCCATAATGCACAAGAAAAAGAGGTTTTCCTATGCAAAACAAGAGGAAATACAGGTTTCAATCTATTATAGGAGATAAGGGGTTTCCTATTTATGGCATGACCTTCTTTTCAAGTGGGGGGGCAGCAGGGCCCCATTTGCAAAAGAATCCTCGCGGGACAGGTTTTTCGCACGGTTTCTCAACGCAAATCCTGTTTCATAGCTTGATCCTCTTAAAAAACAGGCTTGCAAGGCTTTAAATGAACACAACAAGCGGGGGGGGGGTGGGGGGCGCGGGCCCACCCGTTTGCAAACACAATGGTATGGAAAGCGATTCGCATTTTGCTAAATGCAGATCCTCTTCTGTATTTTTAGGCCTCAAACAAAATAACACACAAGCGGGGTGGGGGGCGTGCAGCCCCCTCCCCCCACCATTTGCAAACACAATGCACTGTGGTCTTCAGATAAAGAATCCTAAGTAGATTTAATGTACATATTTACTCTCGAACGAAGCCCAGATGAGAATTTCTGAGCGTGGGGGCGTCTTATATAAAATTGAGGGCTTCTCATTCCAAATCATGTTTTCAAGAAATTAGGAAGCGAGCCCAGATGAGTCTTTCTTAGGTTGTAACCTTTGAATATAGAAACTAATGAGATTTTGTTACGAACAGGCCCCAGAAGAGGATTTATGACCGTGTGGCCTTTGAATTTAGATTTCTCATTAAACGTGTACGAAGGAGCCCAGAGGATTTGTCAGAGGAAGATCTCTTAGGGTGTGGGCCGTTAACTTAATTTCTAGGGTAGGCTTAAGTATGAATTTGAAGCCGACGACAGCTTAGGGTATGGCTGCTGAATTTAAATTCTTATCAGCCGCAAAGCTGAACGAAACACAACGAAGATTATGTGTTAGGGGTGGCATTTCCATACGACACTCCAGTTAAATGTCAGGAATTACGACAGAAGCCCAGATGAGGATTTCTAAGGGTGTCAAAGGTTACAAGGCAACTATACAAACAGCGCTATGCTTTGAACCTAGCTTTCTTGCCCCCGTGTATCTCGGGGCGCGGGGGGAAACTGTACATAGAAGTTGCTGCTTGACAGGACGACAGGCACGTAACCCAGGAATTCAAGCACGTGGAGCACATCGTCACAATGTTCAAGGTGCTCACAGTGCACTTCTGTGCGGGCGATGGCATGCAAACATTTTGGGGTTGACTATGCTGTCCTATTCCTGGCGCATTATTTATTTCTGTCTTTGTCGTTCTTAACCTCTATTTTCCTCTTCCTCCACATGTTCATGGTAAAGCCTCTGTTTTCTGCGTAATGAATAATTAATATTTTCGTGGATGCGGCTGCGAGTGAGCGCAAGTTCGGGCGTTCCATCGAGCTGGGTCTAGGCAAACATTGACATCAACCATAGCGCGGGAAACCACGCATCAGGGTGGGGCCTGGAACCATGAGCCCGAACACAAGACTTCCGAACCAGCGAACCCATCTCCTTCTTCTCCACGCGTCGGATCTGGCCTTGGCCAAGTGATGGCGGAAGCGCGCAAGTGATCCAGCACAGTTGCCTCATAACTGAGGGTAACATGCTCATAGATGTTCATAGATACCATGCTTCATGTTGCCGTCTCACGCGCTGTTGCGACTTCTCATTTCTCATGGATCGCAATCACTTCCATATTGGCAAACATAAACACAGCAGGAACAAAAAGGCGCAGGTAGATAAACGCAAAGCCAGCAAGGCAGCACAAGCACAGCAACAGTCCCCCTGAACTTGGCAAACTGACAAGCCATCTATCTGCACCAGCGGGTTCTGTGGGGGGGCTTTTGTTGAAAGGTCAGAGCATGCAGTTCTGGAGACCTTCCGTGGTGGCCTG